GCTCCATTTCCGTCGCGGATTATATTTGACTTCTTTCTCTCCCGATAACGTGCACGCTGTGTTGCTGTGTGTGTGTGTCGGCGTGGTTCAAGTGGAGAAACACACCGGGGCCAGGCGACACGGTCAACTCTGCCTGGGTCTCTGGATGGTGTCCTGAGGATGCTCGACGCAGTAGCGAGCGAACCGTCAAAAATAATGTATAACAATAACTGGCGCGCAGCTCAACACTTGCGCACGTCACACTTTCATTTGCTTGGTTATGTCGGGTGGTAGAGGGTCTTAACAACATTCATTTTAGGCAGAATAATTTCGTGGCCTTAACTCTCCACCCCGCCCCACCCCCCAACAAAAATCGATCGCAAATCCTATCAGCAACAGAAACCCACCAGCCACGTGTCAAAACCCGCAGTTCTATATGCAGAACTGTTGCAGCAGAGAACGGTGCACCACCCTGTGTTGTTACACCGCAATCCTCTGTTTGGGAGGTCGCTTGGCCCGCCGCTCTGTCTTTTTGTGCTTGGGTTCCGCACCTGCCCTGGCACAAGCGCTGTGGGGACGTCACCGCCCATTAGTGGAGTCTGCGTGTTCTCTTTCCCGTGGTTGTGTGGATTTTTCTCCGGGTTCTCCGGTTCCCCCCCCCCTCTACATTTTGAATCAACATCACGCATTTAGGGGACTTGGCTGCTATACATTTCCACATCAATAAGCCACTTCGTTGAGATATCATTTGTGGCCAGGTCGCATCTGCAATAGAACTATATCGCTCAGTGGTGCCTTACCTGGCAAAATAAAAATGTTCAGTTTAGTTTTAGATTAGTGGCGAATGGCAGCTGTTGTTTCAATTACCGACAATTATCGGTGTCTGGGACGAGATCAGCGCTCCGTCTAATCACCGGGCAGCTACCACCGCGATTGGAAACCCAGCTTCTCGGCACTGCCTGCTAGTCAAGTGTCCCCGACACGGCCATTCTGAATTTCCTGAACTAACACGGTCTTGTGTCTTGGACGACCCATCAAAACGTGTGCAGCCTCCGTTATAGCGAGCCACTCGGGGGGGGGGGGGGGGGGGGGGGGGGTGATTCAATTGAGAACCACGATCAAGAGAAATGGCCTGCCTCCCTTGTTCATGCTATGAACTCCACGGACAATCAATGAACTTCATAATCATCCCATAAATCCGCTGTTCAATCAACTCACTCCATAATCAATCAACAACCTCCATCATCATCCCATCACCGCCTTTCTCAATTGATTAACTCCCCAATCAATCAACCATCTCCATAATCAATTCATGGCCTCCTTGCTCTACGAACTCCCTCTAAGCTCTGCTCTATGAACTCCTGCCAAATATTACCATCTGAAGACTTTCACATCCTCTGTTGCCACACAAACCCTCAATAGACATATCTTAAACCTTCAACCGGATACAGCACCTGGATCATCTGAAGCCAACACGATGCAGGTGTGCATACTGCGTGCATACTGTGTGTATATCGTGTGTGTGTGGCCTTCATAGGTGCTACTCGCTAACAGCAGCACTTGCCCCAACAGTCTGTTAAGGCTATACGGGGGATCTTTTTCTTTGTATCCACAGGCTGCACGGCTGCAAAACCGACAAATCTACAGCGTTGGCCTTCCTGCGGGAATTCGTGATTCTTGCTTTGGGCAATGAAGGCGACGACTCGACTTAAAAACAAGAAACTAACGAGCCGAGAAACGAGGTTTAACGATTCCTGCACCCACCCATCCCAACCACCCTTCAACAAGTGCGTTCCCGCTGCGAGCATCTCGCCCGACACAAACACAACACCAAGAAACGTGGCACAGGGGTAAGTGGCACTGAGATGACACCGGGATAAGTGACACCGGGAAAGATGACACCAGGATGACACCAGGATAAGTGACACCAGGATGACACCAGGATGACACCAGGATGACACCAGGATAAGTGACACCAGGATGACACCAGGATGACACCAGGATGACACCAGGATAAGTGACACCAGGATAAGTGACACCAGGATGACACCAGGATAAGTGACACCGGGATAAGTGACACCAGGATGACACCAGGATGACACCAGGATGACACAAGGATGACACCAGGATAAGTGACACCGGGAAAGATGACACCAGGATGACACCAGGATGACACCAGGATAAGTGACACCAGGATGACACCAGGATGAGTGACATCAGGATGACACCAGGATGACACCAGGATGACACCGGTGTGTCCACCCCACAGTTCCACCGCTCCTCCTGCTCTCGACTCCTCGATTTGTAATGGAATTCTGCGTTCATTTTTGTAGTTTTTCTTTAATTTAAATAATTAAAATATTCTACTAAATCCACGCACACACACACATATATACGCACGCACACGGACACGTACACGCACACAAAAATACAACTTTGTTTCACTATCCATGTAATAGCTATATAAAATTAACGGGATCGTCATCTATAATATATATTATATAAAAATACCCTAACTTTTCTCTTTCTGTCTGATGCATGAAAGTTGTTGGGAGTGGGGGGACGATTAAATCTGCGACAAAGATAAAAGGGGGGCACGGAGCGGGGCTGTTGGGGGGGGGGGGGTCATGGGAAGTGCGTCACGCGGGGGGGGGGGGGCGCAATATTAAAACATCACGACACAAAATCACGGACGACGACGTAAATAAAAATAAACTTTTTCCTCCATCGACCTGACAGCGTCGTCTAAGTGCTTTGCGTCAGCGGCCGCCGCAATCGTTGAAATGTTTTGCATTTTTTAAGTTTTGCGCGGTGTTCGTAGCCGTTCCTCTTCCTTTCCAACTTCAACGGTTTCTGGTTGTTTTTTTTTTGTGGGTTGTTGTTTTTCGTCCTCTCGAAAAAATTCTGACGGTGAAGGTCAGCTCCGCCGCCCTGCCCCCCTGTCGCCCCCCTCCCCGCCACCCGAGGCGTCGGTGACAACCCGTCCCACGCGGTGATCTGAGCCGCCGGACGTTTCGCCGCTCCCGTCCGCCGCATGCTGTCGTGCGTTTTCTTTCATTTCTTGCGCTCACGGGCGATTTGCCGAGTCGGGGCGGTGGGAGAGAGAGGCGGTGGTAGGGGGGCGAGAGGTGCCAGAGAGAGAGAGAGGGTGGAGGGGGGGGGGCAGAGAGAGGAGGATGGGGAGGGGGGTCGAGTCCAGAGTGGAGGTCTCGTGAACACCAGCACGCACGCTGCCAGGGTTTGCGTGTGGAAGCGAGTTTCCCTGCTGCTTGCGTTGCCTGTTCTTCCCGTTTCTGAGCCACTCTTCAGCTGCTGCTGCTGCTGCACTAAAATGCTGCAAATTGTACCGTATTTGTTTTTGCAAACGCGGAAACAGAATGCATCTCCTTCCGGAAACACCACTCATCGTTTTGAAATTCGGGTTTCATTTGCTGGTCGGTGACAGCTCCGCGATTGGTTGCCTGCAGACACGTGGTTGGATTCGGCACACGCCTCCAGCTTTACTTAACAGGATTTGATTAATGAGCGAGACGAAACTGTGGTATCGCGAGACCGTAAAGGCTTGAGTCCTTCATCCAGCAATGGACAGACCATGGGTGATGATGATTAATGGACCGCATCTTAATTAGCCGTATGGTCTGTTTGCGCTACGGGACGGTAGAGGACAAGGGATACTCGCTCCCAGACGCATCGTGCCTATCGGTGTTCACCAGCTCCTCACTCACTCTTCCCTTACCACCCCTCACCGCCTCTCACCACCATCAACTGGTAGAGACACTGACATGCCCGGGGCGGGCAAAATCCACTCGACTTGGCCTTACAAGTACGAATAAATAAACGCGTATAAAAACTAAAACTTACAAAAACAATAATTAAATAATATAATGAACACACACTCGTATAAAAACCTTTAAAATACCGCGGAGGTATCGGTCACGTGTACAAGTGCTGGACTGTTTGCTGATGCGTTTTAGTTTCTTGTCATGTTGTCGCTAATCGATAAAATTTTAGCGGAATATATATATTTTTTTATTTCCGCGATCGCACACGGCTAAAGCGATTCTGCCGCTCGCCGCAAACCGGCCGGGCCGGGGCGAATTCGGCGGTCAAGGTGTGGTGACGCAAAATAAAACGCGGACGAACCAAAGAGGGGCGATAAATAATAATAAAAATAACAATCAAGATTTTTTTTTTTTTAAATATCGACATCTCCCACCGGCGGCTCCAAGTTCCGCTTCTGCACCCCGGCCGTGGGGGCCTGCGTCGTGAGGGCAGTTGTGGAATGTTCACACCGATGACCATCGCGGGGACCACTTGCTTCTCCGTTCCCGGGCCCCTTTTTCACTTCTCCCTCCATGGCCCCTTGAGATTCCCTTCAGGAACCCTTGGTACCTCATTCCATCCAGAGCTCCCCCCCCCTCCACCCACCCCCGCCGCCAGGGCCCACAGGCTTTAGTACCTCCACTCAGGCCCACCCTTTCGCATTCCTTTACGGCGTCATCCGTTACCCCTCCACGGCGCCATTGCGCAGGACCCACCCACACCCCCTTCTGCTTGTGCCCCAGTCTGGGACCCAATTCAGACCTTCTCTGTGGCTCGTTTGAGAGCTCGTTGAGATCCATCGCTGACCCTCTCAGGGCCAACTCAACGACCTCCCCGTGCAGACCACATTCTCGAACCCTCGTGACCCCATCTGTTTTAGCCCCTCTTCTCATCATCATCATCGTCGTCGTCACCACCGCCGCCATCGTCGTCACCATCAAACAAAACCAGCAGCAGCAGCCGCCGTTCACCACGATGCGGTAGCAACACGCCACCCGCGCGCCAGGCTAGGTGCACCTTGAGGCCACGTGAGGGCGGCGAAGGCTCGCCAGCCAGCAGGAGGTCACAGGACAGATCCAGGTGTCACAGGGTCAACCGAGTAGCTCATCATCACCACCATCATCATCACCACCCCCATCCTCCTGCTCTCCGCGCTAGCGTCTTTCAGTCTTCTCCCTCCACCCCTCTGTCCCCAGCGCTCACGCTGGCACCGCCGGTCCCCACCGGTCCCCACCGGGGCCTAGAAGCGAGGCCCGTGTCCGCCCGGCGCCGTGGGGTGGGCCGCGTGCAGCTGGCTCGCCGTGGCGGCAGTGGCGGCCGCGTGCGCCGGCGGCATCACCACGCCGACCGACGATCCCCCGCCTCCTCCTCCTCCGCCTCCTCCTCCGCCTCCTCCTCCGCCGCCACCTCCCGCCAACACCCCTAACGCCGCCGCCACCACCGCGTTGTTGTTGTTGTTGTTACCGCCGCCACCACCGCCGCCGATTCCCATGCCCATGCTGCTGTTGCTGATGACGCCGATGACGTTGTTGCTGTTGTTGCCGCCGCCGCCGCTGTTGTTCTCCGACTTGACGATGGTGATGACGCTGGTGGCCGCCACCTTGGCGGGCGCGATGGGCTCGCGGGCGACCGTGCGCGCGAACGCCTGCAGCGCCTCGTACTTGGCGCGCAGCGCTCCGAGCTCGAGGCGCATGCTCTCATTCTCGCGCGCCAGCTTCTCCACCTCCAGCTGCAGGTCGCCCTTCTGCCGCTCGAGCTCCTCCTTCTGGGTGACGCGCTTGACGCGGCAGCTGGCGGCGTAGCCGCGGTTCTTGAGCGTGCGCCGCCGCTGCTTGAGCCGCGCGATGTCGTCCTTGGAGAGGCCTCGCAGGTGCTGGTTCAGCTCGCGCACCGACATGGACACCAGCTCATTGTCGCTCAGCGGGCCGCTGCTGCCACCGCCGCCGCCACCGCAGCTGGTGTCCGTGTCGCCGCCGCCGCAGCCCCCCCCCCCGGTGAGTGCGGCGCCGTCAGGTGACGCCACGCTGCCGGCGTTCGGCAAAATCTCGTTCGGCTCGCGCTTCACCTACGGGGGAGGAGGGGGGGGGGTGCGGGGGAAGGAGACGGAGGCGGTTGTGAGAGGGGGATGCGATGAGGACGCGGGGTGGACATGGTTGGGGGGGGGGGGAAGCAGTTCCAAAGAAATTAGTTTTCATTTTAGATTATTTGAAATTGCGTAGCTCCCAGTAATATCGGAAGGAAGAGCGCTCCAGACGGCCACGACACGATGAGACGGAACACGAGAGGATGTGGTTAGGACAAACGGAACGCGGAAGCACACGAGGGGAAGTGAGGGGACGGCAGACACACCACGAGGGCAGGATGGAACACAAGAGGACACAACATGAAGCCAGAAATGCAACTCGAGCCGATGGTGCACAACGTATAGACACGGAGAACACGAGCCGGTGCCGGGGCCATCCTGGGGCCCCGGGCGAAGCTTTTGCTCTCCGGTTTGTTCACATGACCAGATGTGGAAAGCGCGGCCATTCGGCCGAAACCATGGTGAGGAACAATGCTAAGCCACATTTTTTCTTCCCTTCTGCTCTTCAAACTCTGAACTCAAAACACGAAGAGGGGAACAAGCCCACCAAATCAGCACGGTGAACATTTCTGTACGCGGTTTAAGAAGTGACCTCGGGCAAAGCTTAAAGGTCAGGCCTAGCTCATCATCAACACCGCTGGTCCCCCAGTGCTTTCCGGTCTGAATGAGCCAACACCGAACTCTGTTTGGGCGTAAATTACTCAAGTTAGCGCGAGTGACCAATGGACAAACGACGGATGACGTCGCCGCAATTAGGGCCGAACTCAGGGCAACAGGACACAGAAAGACGCAGAGAAACAGGGTGGGGGACACAATGAATTACTCCTGGGCACAACGCGACATGGAAAGGTCTTCAACAGCCCGAAAATCGAGCTAGACGGAGCGCTTCGACAGCTCGCGACGACGGTCGCCAAGGTCGTGACGAATCATGCCCGAAAGCCCGGCGATTCAAGTCAGGATTGGCAGATCACTCGGTAAGCCTCCCACCCCCCCCCCCCCCCCGACCTGCCCGGGGTGTGGGTGGCAGTGCAGCAAGTAGGCTCCCGCCGCGTGGGTATTCCCTGGGCACTTCCGCTCTCCTCCTCCTCCCACACACACGAACTTATCGAGATAAACACCGCCTCTCCCTGCCACTGGAAAAAGTGGAACTTCCACCAGCGGCTCGGTCGGGGCCACGCCAGGCGGCCGAGGGCGGCTTGGACCGCACGGCGGGTCAAGAGAAATCTGACCGCGGTCCGGACCTCAAGCGAGAGTTGGCCACGCGCTGAGCTGACAGCAGCACACGGGGCTGGCACTCATTCCTGTTGGCGGCCCCCAGAGCCGGCGGTGGAAATTCCACTTTCCAAATGCGCGGGGGGTGGGGTCGGGCAGTACGTCCACAGCACAAAATGTGATTGCTCATTTATGGACTCCAGAGGGGGGATGATGATGATGATAAACTAAAAGTAAACCTTTTTTTAATTTTTGCAGGTAAGGACTACTGGCTATCACAAATGAAAGCTCAACTCAATTGCTTATAGTGTCGAAATGTACTGCAGCCAAACACTCTAAATGTGGAGGGAAAGACCCGAGTCATGATGGAGGGTGATGAAGACTGCCATATGATAGTGACAATGTGATGACAATGATGATGTTGATGATGCTGGTCACAATGACAATGATGGAGACAACAACAATGATAATGATGTGATGTGGAGTGGTGGTGCAGTGGTTAGCACACGGTCCTCTGAACTGGGCGAAGTGGTATCTCAATAACAGGTCCTGGACCACATCTCTTTCAACCAACCGGCACTGACCAGCTCGGTGAAGTATAGTGAAACCGCCCGTACGAGCGACACTCCATGGGGGAGGCCTTCATCCAGCAAGCAGCGGATTGACACAGGGCCCTAAATCCTACACTACCGTTATTTAACAGGACTGGCCACTGCTACTTCGAGAACAGCAATGGCTCTGTGAGCACGACAGGAAGGAGGGGAGGGGGTGTGGCGGGCGGCTGTAGCGGCGGGAATCAAACCGTAGCCCCGGGGCTCCTCCGTCGCTAGCGAGGGCGTTGTGCACCAGCCGCTAGCGGCCTGGGTAAGGGCGAGGTCCAAGCTCAACATTGGCGGGGGGGGGGGGGGGTGTTTGGCGGTGAATCCTGGGAGGATGGGGGTGGGTGGGCCGTGGTGGGGGGGGGGGGGTCTGCGTGCCGATGACGACACTCGGAAGGTATTTGTGTACGAGTGCAGCGGAACCGGGCAGCGTGCACGTGCTTGTGCAGCGCCGCATGCACGCAAGCGCGCTCGCCCCTCGCCAAGTAACGCGCGGAGTCGCACGTTCGCTCGCTTGCTCACATTCGCACTTAGTTTCACGTATTCGCTCGCTCACTCACGTGCTCAACGAGTCACACACGCGTTCACACATCGCTCGCTCGCTCATTCACTCACATGCTCAACCAGTTACGCATTCGCTCACTCAACCAATCACACACGACGTTCACACAATTGCTCACTCTATCGCTCACACACTCACTCACTCACTCGCTCACACTTGTACTCACTCGGACACTCGCCCAGTCACACATCTTCATGCCAACTCTCGCGCTCATTCGCTCACACGGACACTTGCTCATTAATGCGCTGGCTAATGAACTGCCTTACTCGTGTGTTAACACGCACGTGCGCCCTTATATGCTCACCCCAACACACTGTGAAACACTCTCACATACTCAAAACCATAACATTCCTAAGTACACACACGTAGAGACATTTTTCACATAGTCCCGCAAACGTACCCAAACATGCTCTGGCACACTCGCTTGCACATTCCCTCGCACTATAACACACACACAGCACTCACAAATATACACTTATACACACTCACACGTGACTCACAATCACAACACAATACAAAACCCCCCAATAATAACACCCCTTACAAACACACACCAACATCACACACACTTACACCAACACAATCATAATAACACACCACCGACTTGGGGCTCGCACAAACCCTCACAACAATAATAATTATACGACTCAGTGACTCCGAACGCATGTACACGCGCGTGCACGCGATCACAAGAATAACATTCACTGACTCACGCGTGTACACGAACCAACTCCCACCACACCAACAGTCATTACACTCGGGCACACACCTTGGCCGGTGAATGGAATTTTCCAAACGCCAAGCCACCTCAGCCCAAATTCTCCCCTCCTCGCTAGCTCTCACCCCCCCCCCACTCCTCCCTATCCCCAATACCTCTCACGCAGCCTGTGATCTCAGGCTGCAGCATGCAGGCTAAATGTGGTGCGGTGGTCCCACGCACACGCAGACAGACAGACGCACGCGCACGCACGCACGCACGTGCAAACGCGCACACAGCCACGGGCGCACAGCCACGCCGCACGCGCAAACGCACGCGCAGCCACGCGGCCACACACGCGCGGACGCACGTGCACACGCGCGCACCCACACGGCGCAACCCGCACAATCCGCAAACTCAAATAACGAGAGGCCGCGACACTGGAGGAGGCCTTGACCGCTTAAAACGCGCAAGACCACACACGCTCGCAGACGTGCGTGCACGTGTACGCACGAGCACACTCGCGAGCGCGTGCGCACGTACGTACGGCCGCGAAGACACGGTCTCGCACACACGGACACGTTCACACACCCTCACCGGCTTCCTTCACGTCGGCATGCGGAATCGCGCGCGCGCACACAGGCAGTTCCACAAATTAGGCAACCGGCACAAAGTTTCACAATCACCCGAATACACACCCACAGGGGGGTGTTACTGTTAGGGTAATAATTATCTACAGTCTTGGACTATATGGCTTACATTGTGAAATTAGCTGATGCGTTTACACGGGCGCACACTTGCGCGCGTAACCGAACGCCCCATCCGTGTCCGTGGTATTTCACGAGAGGCTTCTTCCCTGATCGAAATAATTTGTACAAATTATTCCCGTCCGAATTATACTCATAATCAGTTGACGTGCTGTGCCCAATTAATAAAGATAAAGACACTTCACGATTCTCCCGAGGATGAACCCCGCATCTCCAAAGTGTCTGAAAAGCACGTCGTTTAAACCGGGATTGTTTGATTATTACTCTTTGGTTTTTTCGATAAAGTCACGTAGGTTAAAAATAAAAAAATAAATTAAATAACGACGTTTCGGAGGCAACACAAGCTTCCTTCATCAGGTGTAAAAAAGGAAGCTTGTGTTGCCTCCGAAACGTCGTGATTTAATTGAGTAGTTTTCAATTATTTTAATTTAATTTTTTACCTACGTGATTTTTCCGAAAAAACCAAAGAGTATGAATCCTTGCAGTCACGAAAGCTTCAAATCTATAATGTTTGATTATTATTTGATTGTTATTATCATCGCGATTACTCTACGACGCTGCGTCGCATTACGAGATGCTTGTTCTTTCAAGCACCGTGGCGTTATCGACACCCAACGTGTGGAGTTTCTCAGTTCCCCCCCCCCGACCGCCTCCTCTCTTGAGACCAGTGGTGGGTGGGCAACCTGCGACGCGCGGGCCGCATGCATCCCTTGGCGCCCCTTGCGGTGTCCCGGCCTAAGTCGTCTCGATGTTGTGCGTACGTACGTTGAACTCCTTTCGCGCCGTGCGTAGCCAACCGTGCTAATCGGAGGTGCGGGACTCCAGGTGAGGCTGTAGCTCAGTGGTGCGCAACCTGCATCCCCCACGGGCCTCGCGCGTCCCGTGGAGGCCCTCGCGGTGTCCCGGTCTAAAAGGGTGTCTCGAGGGTGGCACGTGGGGTCATGATTAGTGCACGAGCACGGTGTCAGGCTTGCGGCCCACCGAGGTGAAGGATGGCCGCTCACGCGGCCCACCGATTACAGTCTGGGGTTGCCCATCACTGCTGGTTTAGACCATGGAACGCGTACCACCAAGCGCACTCCGGTCATCCTCGCAGCTGCGGCTTTTGGCTGGGCCATCGAACAAAGATGGTCACCGCGTCGCCC